GCTAATGTCCATCTCCTCCGCCCAACGGGCTCTTCAGGACTAATAACAGCATCACGGCGCAACAAAGCAGGGCGGTGTATCGAAGGCTGCCGTTGTTCTATGGGTGAAGGCGAAGAGGTCATATCACGACTAAGACTAGCGGATAGAGATAAAGGGGGCACAGGACTTCTCGACCTCGAAGCATTGGTAAAGCTCGCAGGCAGATCGACATCTGAATCGCTGCCCAGCATGAATTTGGCTCGCCTACCGAGGGTGGTGGGTTCTGCGTTTTCTGCTTTCGACTGCTCCTTTTCCTTGCCTTTCCCGTTGACCTTGTCTTTGCCAAGCAATGAGTTGGCCATATCTCCCCAAGAAGAATTTCTAGCATGTGCTAGCTTGCGCTTGTCTTTCTCTTTGCCCTTTGGAGTTAGACTTCGGCCTACGTGTTTTTGCTTCTGAGGCGTCTCATGGTTGTCGAAATTCTACGCCGGGAAAATAAAATAAAAACGTAAGCAAACAAGAAACATGCGATGCAAAAAAGCGAGGGGTAAAAGTGAGACGTTGTAGAAAGCTTCACGGGCGTTTTTGCCCGAGGAAATAAAAGAAACAAACTCACTGTCCCAAAAGTCTCCTCCCCCTCACCCAAACTAGTCCGACTAGTCAACCCACTGTCCCTCCCACCCGCCCTCCACCTCCTCCATCTTGTGAAAGAACTTGAAGACGTCGTACTCGCACTCCTACTAGGTCCGCCAGGACTCGAAGTAAAAGGCGAGTTCGAACCAGTGGTCGCACCTTCGCCTCGCCCTCATGTGAATGCGAGTTGTTGGAGTGAGAGTCTGAGCTGGCCGCTGAAGACGTATGAGGTGTCAGGGTCGGCCTCGTTGGATGATTGTCAGCAGGCTGACTATGACCATCACTAAAGGCCATTAAAACTGTCATTACATGTCCAGCATGTCCAGATTTAGTTGCCGGGTTATTAAAAAGGGATGGTGGCGGTCCTGAGTGCGGTGCATGTTCCATGCTCGAATTTGAGCTGATCGCAGACCCACTGCCAGAGGCCGTGTTTGAAGAACTCGAGGCGCATGCGGAATCAGACAATGATATTGAAGTCGCGGATGCGCGTCCTGAACCTGAATCAGAGGATTCAGAAGGTGGTACCAAAGGTCTAGTTGGATGTAGGTCGGGTTGTAATCCATTATTTGATGAGCTGCTTAAAGCATTTGATTTTGCAGTTCCAAAAACACCACTGGCGTTGTCAGCGGCATTATTCGGCGCGCTCGTAATGCCTTCAACAACATCTTGTAGGGGCGGTCGATTCTTGGTCCTAGGGCTCGACGAACTCCTCAGACTGAATGTCCGAGCAAAGAGAGACGCTCTTCTCTGCGGTTGGTCTTGATTATGGGTAGACCTGATAGTCCGTGCGGTAGTGGTGCCATGCCCACAGTCGCTTTGCACGTGTGACGGTAAAGGCCCTGCGGAAGACATGAGGATATGTCGCGGTAATGACGGTAGTGGCGGTTGTTCGGACGATACAGTGAGGTGATTAGGGGAGTCCAGCGCCGTTAGCGAGCGACTCGCTTTTCGCGAAGAGAGTCCAGGCTGTTCCACAAAAACAAAGGTGGAATCGAGCTCGAGGGAAGGAAATGTGATGGCGATGTCAGGGACAGAGGGGAATGCTTCCGGCGACCTGTGGCAGTGATTCGAATTGAAATTTGACGATGAGAGGGCGATAGGCGGAGCAGAATTGGGCGGGGGTAGGTGGAGATGATGGTGGTGTTGGTTGTGGTTGTGGTTGTTTCGTAAATTTGAGCGCGCCAATCCATGGGATTGAATATTATTATCGTCATCAACACCTGCACCTAAACCGCGTCTGGGATGGAAAGACACGAGGCCGGCGGATTCGGCGTCATTATCGTCGTCATGGGCAATACTATCCTCGGGATCACTTATTAAGAGTACCACACCGGAAGAGCGACCTTCATTGCCTTTTCGTAAGTACTTGGAGTTTTTCTCGTTACTGCTGTCAGCGTTCAGTAATGCATCTAAGCTTTCCTCGGAGCGGGCACGGTAAGGGGGTAGGGTCAGGTCTACTATGGGCTCTGACGAAAAAATGAGTGGCTGCAGCTTTGGGGGTGAGTTGGGTGCGGCCGAAGAGCGCTTCTTTTGTCTGCTCTTCCTCCTACTAACAAAGGTGGAAGACATGTTAATGATACCGATGGCGGACCAAGAAGAGGCCGATGAGCTGGCAGAATTTGTCGAAGGCGAGCGGGTAAGACTCTGACTCCTGGAGAAGCGCGTCGGATTCGGGTGAGGCAGCAACAACGACCATGACGAGGACATGGAAGAGTGGGGTACGCAGGAAGGAGGGGATTAAGTTATTCTCAGCCACATCGAGGCAAGATCGGATGAACATACCTCCTGTCAACAATTTTTCCAGACTTCAGGCACGGACTTGCCAAGTAGTGCCTGTCTTGTTCGGCTCAAGTTTGGCTGCTCCTCGCTGTGTTCGACGACGAGCAGACAGTCTGGGATGTTGTTTGCTCGTCCTACGCTGTGTTTTTCAACAATGACGGTGTTCTTCAGAACGATGTCGTCATAAACGCGCATTGACATCACCCTTTCGCACGAAGTCAAGTCAACGTCGGTCCAGAGCCAGCCAGAGTTATCCGTTCATTTTCTCAACGCCTTCTTTTTTTCACTCACTTCCATTCCACTCGAAACATCATTACATTCTACTTACCTCTTTTCACGCTCAGCTTCGGTTTTCATAAGATAGTCATCAATGTTAATGAACACCCATAACAAGAGGCTTTATCATCGTACAAGCGGCGACGGGAAATTATCAGGGGATCACACCAACGTCCAAAACCAAACCTTCCTTTGCTCCTTCCTCGTGGTACCTCTCATATACATGGGTATGACGTTACACTCGCTCACTCACACCTCTGCTCGGGTCATCGCACGACAATCCTGCCCGACGGGAATAGTTCGGCCAACCATCAACGGCCCTCGGGATCCTCAACGCCTGTTCGACGTTACGCTGATCCCCTTTTACGCAAAGCTTGCTGCACTGTTTTCCAACTCCTCCAAACTTTGAAAATACTCGCTCTAAAATCCCGATTGCCTCCACACAGCCTTCCTACTCTATACGCCTCTATTCCCATTTTTAGCCTCATTCTCAAAGCTGCTCCAACCCATTTACAGTGCTCTGTTCCTAATTTAGTTAGTTCTGCCTCTGCCGAGACAGGCCAAAGCGAGAAGCCGGTAGTCATTCCAACTAGCAGAAAAAAAACCGAAATAGCTCACAATCAAAAATTCGTTCGAAGACTCGCGTTTAATGGGCTCTTGATAACCGATTTGGCAGATAAGCTTGAATGAGAATGAATACCGTCATCAAGGGTCTGAATGAGGACATCGTACGGCCTTTTTTCCCTCTTGTAATATCCATCTGCGAATAGCAAAATTCGGTCTTCGATATGGAGGTGTACATCTTGCGTTCTCCCGAGATAGATGCAGGGCAACGATCGAGAGTTATCACTTCCACGATACTCCTTGCAACGAGTTCTATTTGATAGATGTCGATGATGCTATCCGGCTTAACAGCGTGGCAATTACTCCAATCCGATGTACATTTCCAATCAGTCAGCTCCAACAAAACTACCTACCTTGATCTTCGGGGAGAAGACGTGGTTTGAGCTTTTCTTCTATAGTCCTCTTAGACTCTGATCAGCGGTGTGGTTCTAATTACTATTGGATTACTATCTACAATTAATCATCAGCAAACGTGTGTTCCTAGTATTCAGTTGACAGAAGAGCATCGTTTCGGACATACGTAGATGAATAATTGGATGCGAATCGACTTCATAAAATAGGTTCATTATTCCCATACACACATTATCTTCGGAAGTGCGACCTTAGAAAAATTCGGAGATGGATATGATAAGACCGATCTTATCTTATCTGCCCCTTTATTTCCTACCATGACGTCGACCGCAGATGGACCTCGCTGGAAAGCAGCCCTCGAGAAAGCCCTCTCGCAATACGACCAAAACGGTACTCTTCCCACTTCATTTGTGAAGCTGACATTATCACTCACCGTAACCCGCAACATGCAGTAGTGCAAATAGCCACAATCGACACCGCCACCACCACCGATGGTACAAGCACAAGCACCGCTATCCCCCGCGTCCGATCCCATGTCGTCCGCAACTTCCTCTCCAAACCAAACGCACCTTCTCTCCTTTTACTCATCTCCTCCACCGACTTTCGCATGCCCAAAGTCGCGCAGCTCACCGCCAATCCAAAAGCCGAGATCGTCTGGTGGATCGAAGGCACGAAACAGCAGTTCCGCTTCGCGGCGGATATCTACCTCTTACCCTCGCCCACGCAGCGCGCGCTGTATACTGAATTTATGGAGCGAGTGAAGGCCGCGGAAGATGGGACGGCGATTTCTGTGTTCAAGGACGATGGAGAAGAACAGTGGGAGTCTCGGCGCGTCGAGCTCTTCAGATCCTTGGGCCCAGGCATGCAAGCAGGCTGGGTTCGTCCCACCTCCGGAACGCCTCTTAAAGGCGGGCATGAGGAGGCGATGAAGTGGCCCGCGCGCCTCGCTGAGCCCAATAAGGAGACGATGACCAAGGAGGAGTATGAGGAGGCGAAGAGGCTCTGGGAGGTGGCTTTGAGTAACTTTGTATTCTTCATCATTGATCCTGTCGAGGTCGATTTTGTGGACCTCGGTACGACGCCTGTGGATAGGAGGTTTCTTTTTAAGAAGAAGAAGGTGGAAGGGGAGAACTGGGTGTGGGATGAGGAGGAGTTAGTTCCTTAAGCTTTGACCTTGACCCAATCTGTTGGACACTTATCATAATCATTTGAAGTTAAATTGTATTCTGTACGTAACCGCCACATAAATAAAATCTAACAGCAACGCCAGAATCACTGTCATCCCCACTATCTTTTGGGGCTCATGAATAATGATCATTGTATAATATGGATGTTCAGGAGCAAGAAAAAAAAATCAATGCCCATTGGCTGGTTTGAACAACCGACCTCACCATAACTTAGTACACGCAATACGAGTGGCGCGCTCTACCACTGAGCTAAACGGGCAGACAACAGTAGTCTCACACATACCCCATGATGTCCGGGACTAGGCAAAGAATCACTGTATTCAAAATCATCATCGTCCGCTGACCATTAGGGACGTTCACGGTAGCCCAACTTCGGCCCAACTTGGCTCCCAACTTTGATCCCAACTTCGATCAAGTTGGGAATTCCAAGTTGGGCCGATTTCGCAAGTTGGGATGCAAATCGTGCTCCGGACCATGATTTGCATCCCGACTTGGCCCCCAACTTGACGTCCCAACTCATCTTCCCAACTTCGTCCCTACTCTCTGTACTACCTACGCTTTACATACAAACATGGGCAAAGCTAAGCCGAAAAAGGCAGTTCCCACTAAGCCTACAAAGCCAACCCCTACATCGAAAAAAGCGTCGTCCACACCATCCGATTCCTCCCGCCCCCCCAAACTCGAGTGGGTTAAGAACCCAGACTGGACATGGTCGCTAATCGCCTACTTGACCAACCACGTCGCCTTCCGCATCAAGCTCTTCTCGGATTCTACAGCGGATGCCAGCAAAGAGGGTCGTAGCAAGGCTGTCGCGAAGGATGGGAAGGCTCAGCAGTACGCGACTCTAGCAGAAGGCATCTTCAAGGACGACAAAGAGCAGGGCCTGGCCTACCTACAAGACAAGGGTCGGTTTGCCACTTCAGTTGAGACGCGCCTTCGCCGGTAAGATCAAATCATCAGAAAATTTCTTATCTTGATGTATCTATGAACAGGCTCAAGAAGGACTACATCGAACACCTCAAGACGCTTGGGAAGACTGGTGCTGGTCTCGCTCCCGAAGATGTCACACCCGGCAGCTCTATAGCTAACCTCGTCGGTATGTCTTCTACCTTTTTTTCGTCGTTCTGTCACTGATCTTTACTGATCCTTCTTTTAGATGACATCAAGGCTAACTGGCCTTGGTGGGAAGAATTCCATAGGTTCTGGCACAAGCTGCCGAATTACAACACCATCGGCGTTCACTTCGATCGATCTTGGATACTATTGGCCATCGTTGAGGCGCTGAGTTTTACCAGGAAGAGCGACGGGAGGTGGTCTGGATACCATTTTGGCAGAGAGGATGTGAGGGGAGGGAAGAAAGAAGGATCATATTTGGACGTGGTGTATGAGTGGGAATACAGCGGCGTACATCAACTTGTCACTACGTAGTTAAAAATACAGAGTGGGTGTTTCACAGTAAAGTCGCCAACTTGGGTGCCAACTCGGAAGCAAATTGGGATCAAGTTGAGACCCAAGTTAGGACCCAAGTTGGGCCGAAGTTGGGCTACCGTGAACGTCCCTATTGCTTCTTTGCTGCTTCCACCATGTACTATGGCATTGATTATATCAATATGAAGCACAAAGTCCCGTAAGCCAGTTTGAAAATTTGGAGCCAATGATAAGTAGCCTCGCAGACCATGCAAAGTAGATTACAACGTCATGCACAATTCCTAATATCGACTACATACAACAGAAGGTATTGTCCGGTGACGATTCTTCGACCCTAGCGCAGAGACGGGAAGGCAATGTAAGACGTTCTGGCAAAAGAAGAGAGGATGAAAGTAAATAGTCTACATAATCGAGTACACACACAAAGCCAAGAAAGCAATAATATAAGAAAGATTCGTCTCTGAAGAAGATAAGTAAAGAATATAAGTCAGGGTGCTCAGGAAGTTATAAGTTTTTGCTCTTCATATTTTTCTTTCAACAGCATACAGATATTTTTGAGAGTCCGTTTGTGGTTGCGTGTTTATTTTTTCTTTGACGCCAAGTTCCGTCGCTTCAGGGCATGAGGCATGTCAGCTGTTGTTTCTTTATGCTTTGACTTTCTTGGATCCTTGAGTGTCGTCCTCGTCTTCGTCGCTAACTTCATCGATGGTACGTTTCTTGGCGCTAGTGGGAGCCACTTCCTCCTCGACGTATTCCTCGTCCTCGTCCTCGTCCTCTTCCTCATCCTCTTCATCTTCAAAATCGTCACCAGTAGCAGGAGCGTTTGGCTACATAATCAATAATCAATCTTTTAGCATGCATCGGAAAAAAGGGGAAATAGATGCGCACATTGCCAATGAGGAGGTGAGTGAGCGTGCCCTTGCCCTTGAGAGTCATTTTTTAGTATTAAACCTAGTCTTCCGATGAGGTAAATGGCATGCATACCTGGATTACGACCTCTTCTTCTTCTTCTTCTTCCTCCTCTTCATCATCATCCTCGTCCCCTACGACTTGTCTCTCCTCCTGAACAGGATAGATGAACAACTGCACCAAAGGGTACCTAACAACGCACCTCATAATCGGCCTCCTCTTCCTCATCATCATAGTCGTCGCTCTCTTCTTCCACGTCTTCGACAGTATAATTGCCGGCATTAGGTACTTTCGAGGCCGTACCGTTCAAGACCTCATCGGACGGCTCGTGTGTGACCTTGGTTGCGCTAGACATCGTTCAAAGAAGCCGGTGGTTGCTACGTGGAAGATATCGCAAAGAAAAAGAACAAAAAGCAAGTCGATATGTCTACGCCTGGATCAAGCCGCTAACCCGAGTCCCAAGTACAGGGCTGCTGGAAAGAAACCTAATCAAAAAAAAGCAAGCTAGGAGTCACAAACTGGGCGAGGAAGAGAACTGGAGTTGTGATGGATGGGGTTCAGAACTGGTTTGTCCTGCTGGCACCCACGGATGTCCGAGTCGAAGGACTTTCCGGACGCTCGAGCCTTTCGTCCAAAGTGGCGTTCTCCGTTCAACGTTACCGTAACCCGGAACTCTCATCTGCCATTTTGCGTCACGTGATGGTGATTTCATCTATTGCGCGCCGCGGCGCCGACGCGCACGTTGCGCCTTGCCAATCCGGTCGCAAGGCTTGGAACTTGATTTACGTGACAATGAGAATGCTAGGTTTGGCGTACAATCTTTGTTGAAACAATATTAGAGATGGATCCTGAATTATGGCAATTATTTGAAAGTGCAGTATTTTGTTTTTCAGTATGCTAACAGGCCTCTCTCTCTCCGCGGATGTCAATACGCCGGGCCCATTTTTCCCTCGATAGGTACTACCCCAATTCTACAATATCAAGAGGTTTAATTTCCATCACCGTACAAGAGAGAATGAAAATGAGAGCAAAACGTGAATATATGAGGGCTGATTTCACAATGATGGATGCTGGATGCGAGAGAAAAGACAGTGTTCTTCGTAATCAGGCGAGAGCGTGGCGGGGATCCTCCTGCAGTGTAAAAGAAGCCAACCGTGAAAAGGGTGGTCAAGAGGATATTCACGACCCCTACATAAGTGGCAATGCACTGTATAATGAAAGTCAGGTTTCGACGCTGAAGAGCATTGTCATGGTAACCCAACGGTAAAAATGTGAATTGCCTCCATCGTGATCAGCGATCGTTCCATAGAAAGAAAAAAAGACAAAATATACAGAGGACGACTTGCATTCATGGAGAAAGAAGACGTGAAAAGGGTGTGGTAGGAGACAGTGAGCGGTACTAGTGAGGTGAATTCATGGTCATATCCCGAATCGCCACCAATGAAAGTCCATTCGATATAAATATTTTCTGCGAATTCGTCTGGTCCATTAGTATGGTATCGAGCCCATTTTTTTAGAGCAGACTGGGAGAAGAGAGAAAATGGGGAAACAGTTTGCAACAGTGGTGGAACTAGCGCAGAATAAAAATGAACGATGTGCATAGAACGGATGCAAGCACTACCGTCACTGAGAGGTGCAAGTAGGTATGCGAATCACATGTCCTGACAGAGTCAGAATTATTGAACAAGTACACGAGCGGTCCTCCCTTGCTTGCCTGCTATAGGAAGTTGCGCCTCGTAAATCAAAATAGGGAGCCCTCACATCACATCACAAAAAAGATGAAACAGAAAGAGTGATCGGTTCCTATCTAACCTGTCAGAAATTTAATGGAGGCAAAAAAAACCACAGATGCTTGATCCTTTTATGATGTGACGTGAGGCAACCATCGAAGCAGAAAACGCGAAGAGTTGGTGAATTGGTGGTAATTTAAATTAGATGCTCTTGCCACCGTTCGTATTCCGACCTCATAGAGGACAGTGGGATGGCCTGCATCAAATGTTCAAGCAAGAAGCACAAATGTCGAGTCGCAGCCCGTAGGTCAAACCCGTAAACAAACGAACATCCATCTATTGCTTTCCGCAACATTTTTGAGGACAGATTATCACATTCGTTATCCCGGGTCGGCAAAAGGGCTGCGGTCAGCGGCGTCTCCAACAATTTGAGAAGTTAGAATAAATGGTGCTTCCTTGATGCAAATTTCAAGTACATCGTGATAGATAGGCAGTAATCCTTGGTCGACCGAGCAATCTAGGTCAACGGAGGCCCGAAGCAGGCTGATAACAATGGAGAAGGAGGTTAAGAACAAGTGAGTTGTCGGCCGACAGAGATCGATGTTGCACTCAATCGCAGTTCAACCTTGCCTGCGCAAAAATATCGGTACCTCGATGCTCGCCTGGAATAGCCTGGGTCCAAAATGCCTCTTCGCCTGTCGTCTCATGACATTGCTGACCTTATGTCAAAGCCACTTCTCGAGTAATTTTAGGGTGGCAACGTGTACGGTGATTGGTAATTTTATCTCTTGGTCAGTGAGATACGCTGGCTAATGGATACAAGATATGCTTACCTCCTAAAGCCCCCAGATTATAGATAGCACAAGCGTTTAAGCGGGAGATAGGCGCTCGAGCAGTGTTCGGTGTGAGGGATTTGAGACAGCCTTACTGTGCAATGGCTTGTATCCCAATCTCCAATTTTCAGCTGCAAGCTAGGATCCGGACACGGATGTCATAAGTTGTCAGAGCTTGCAGAGGGAAAGAGCAGGTCAGTGTTATCTTTATCTCTGAACCGCATCGGGAGGCGTGAGAACTGATAACTGGTCACATGTACCTCTCTTGCCGATCAGTTTTCATTATCTCGCTCACTGGTGACAACGATAAGGAAGGAAGGCCGCAGGAAGTCGCTCACGAGCCAGGCTGGATGCATTCC